AAATCTCAGTTAATTATGAATATTCATAATCATGGAGAAAGCCTGTTAGCTGTTATATATATATATAACAGGCTTTCTCCATGATTGTTCTTAAAGGTTATTTCTACCAGTGTTTCTTGCTACAAAGCTCCATTTAATGAAAAAAATAAAAAGGAGAAAAAACAAACAAACACATTCCGTTCACTGAAAAAAAACAACTATTTTTCAGTGCACGGAATGTGTAAAAGCTAAAGAAAAAGAAAGAAATACCATAAAAAACAAGAATAACAATGTTTGGTGACAAATTATTCTTTTAAAAGCCCACATTTTTATAAAATAATTTTACTTTTACCCTTGTCTGTCAAATCCAAACAGTCTGGGTCCAACACTGACTCCAGTCTTTGCACCTGTTGTGTGGATGTTTGTCTTTGTCTAAATGTTGTCAGTTTAACTCAGCAGTAAAGACACAGACACAACAACAAACAGACGACAACGACTGACATTTCTGTGGTGGAGACTGAAACTGGACTCACTCTGGAGGATTCACCGTCCAGAGACCTCAATTACAGGAGGTCTGGATGGAGATGTAACTTGTGTCAAATTTATGCAAAGTGAGTTTTAGAGCGAGAGGAATCAGTGACAGATACATCACAGGGAGACGACGAAGGTCACATACACACTGCACATTAACTCTCCTGTTTCTGCCCCCTTTTAAATGAGTGTACCTGCCATATACAACCAGGTCGGACGTCTCTCTGTCTCTGATGAGCTCAAGTCCAACACCACAGGTCTTCGTTATTACCATCAGTGACGGCTCAAAATGATAACTTTACATCCATTTAGAATTTATGCAAATTTGAAGACCTTCAGAATGTGATGAAAGTATTGAAATCAGCTTGGAGTGGAATTTATATTATTTATTTTATTATGACTTTAATACACTATTATATATTTAATTTTATTTATATCGAGCCAAAATCAAATGACCAAAAAACCCAGATACTTTCCCTGGAATCCAATTTCAATTTTCACAAAAGGGATTGACATTTGCCAACATTCACAATTTTCACAGTGAATAAATGTCCCGTTGGTTATATCTATCATTTTCACAGAGGACTGCAATATATTTTTGTTTCCATTCAGTAGGAATTAAATAAACCAAAAACAACAGAGAATCTGTTGAATCTGTTATTATGTCCAAGAAAAGACAGAAACGGCAGAGGAGACAGCGAGCGTCTAAGTGCTGTAAATTGTTTTTTGTTTTCTTTTTTCCTATTGTGGTTTTAAAACCTCTATAATCTCAGGGTAAAATAACACACGTGATTTTCATGCAGGAATGTGAATTTAGAAACGTCAGTTCTCCAACAGAAACTGTTTTTCTGTTGTTCCACGTTGAGTCAAACTGATATCAGTTGTTTACTGGTGTGAGTACAGAGAGCCAATTTAGTTTTGATGAACCACTTAACCCCACGTCCCCATTAGCAATTTACTGTTGTGTTTATCTTGGTTTGGAAGTGATGAGTGAGAATTAACCTCTCTTTTATTGCTCAGTATTGGCCATATGTTTGTTTACTGCTTTAATAAAAGAGGAAATTAAAAACAATCTAACATTCTCTGGGAGTCTCAGGTTAACGGCTGGTCTTCAACGGCAGCTCCGTGGACTGAGGAGGGAAAGTGAATATTTACGGGAT